TAAAATATTTCCTAATTCTGTATAATGAACACAATCTATAGTCTCGGGAAAAAAATAAATGATTTTTAAAAATAAAACTATTTACAAAACAATTCCTTATAAAATCTGAATGCATCAATTATCTACTTTTAGCTTCAAATTTTAGTATCCATTTTATCTGACTCATGTATGGGCAACTACTGACAAAAAAGAATTGGTATGAAAGAAATACTAAAAATCATAACAAGTAAATGGAAAAAGGGACAGCACTGACCCTCCTTGGGTTATACAGATGGACCGACTTCAGAAGTAACTCCCATACTTCAGGGCTGCATAAGCCAAATGACGCAAACACACACATGTGTGATGTCCACAGGTACTTCATTCTGTAAAAACAGGAAGTTTTTACAAAAGTCAACAAAGGACTAGCTGTGTATAAACCTGGAGTCTGAGATACCTGTACAGGCAGCTTTATAGTCCATGACAGTAAAATCTGACTTAAACTATGCAGAAACCATTTGCTAAAGCATCAGTTATTAATTTCTTGTCTTTTGAGAATTATCACATAAGTAAAACACAGAGGACTGTTTGTATTAAGGAAAAACTGATTATTAGTAAAATTCTGTACTGGGAGAACACAGAACATCATAACAATTCTTGGGAACCATAATCATTAATGAAGATGACTGTCAGTTTCCGTATCACACTGCTAAGTAATGTCAAGTAAACAGTGGTCAAATTAAAAAATAAATCAAAGAAACAGGTAAGACAAAAATACCTCATTGTACTCAAGGCCAAGAATCCAAACAGAATGGTATGTATCAAGTTATAGGCAGTTTCTGGTTTCAGGTTAATTGTACATTTTCCCATTTTACCCATGGATTGTTGATTTGTAGAATCACTGAATAAAATAGCAAACATACAAAATTAAAGTTGGAAAAATTTTACCTTAGTTAAATCTTAAGAAGATATAAGAAACTTATGTCTTCATATATTTAGAAATGTATTATTTCCCTAAGATGAAATAAATTAGTACTGATCAATTCTGAATATATGAGGCCAAAAGTGTCACAGTACAAATGCATTAATAATTAGAAAAGCTAAAATTTCACTGTAGCCTTCAATTTAAGTAAAAACTTAAAGTGCATCAATTCTTTAAAAGAGAATAGCAAAAAAAAACTCTTTTGGAATCACTGAAACTGGAAGAGATATTTGAAGATGTTTTACCAGTTGTTACCAGTATTTTTAAAATGTTTACAAATAAGCAAAAGCAAAAATACATCCCAAAATTTGGGACCAATTTTATGAATTGGTCACATTTTTAACCTATCAATACCTCATGATGTATTTCCAAGAGATGACTTCTATCAAATATAGCTACATTAATATTATCACACCAATAAAATTAACATTAATTCTTTAACATCATTTAATACCCAGTTTATGTTCTATTTTCCCTGTTTGTAGCAACTGTTTCTTTTTTTTAGGTAGTTTTTTTCTTTGAATCAGGATACAAAGATTATGTATTGCATTTCACCGATATATCTCTTTAAATATCTTTTGATCTATAAAAGTATCCCCCCTTTTGTTCTGAAATAAGCTCAAAGTCCATAACTAGAAAATGGTGGAGCCAAATTGCCAACTCAAGCAATCTGAGCCCAGAGCCCCAACTCTCCAACCTTTAGCCTTCATGTGCTACCACAGCTCATGGAATAGCATGAACTTTGCAACCTGCTTTGAACCGTGTCCCTACTACATGTTTGTTGTGTGGTTCTTGGCAAATTACTCAATCTCTCCAAACTGTTATTTTTTTATTAAATAGGGAAAATAACAATCCCTTTTACCATTGTTAATGATGGCTATCATTATTAGTGTTCTTATTAATGTAGAAAAGTTTACTTGTTTCGTTGTTGCTTTTGTCTTTTAAGGAAATAAAATCATAGTATCTTTCACGTAAAAAAAAAAAAAGTATCCCCGTTTAAAAAAAGGCCATTTGTTGAAGAAAATATAACATTTGTCCTGTAACTCTTCCCGTCTCCTGTATTTAGCTTATGTGGTGTTTAACATATTCTCTATTTCCATATTTCTTGTAAACTTGTAACTAGATCTACAGGTTTGTTAGAGTCAAGTTCATTCTGTTTTGGCAAGAACTCCTCACAAGGTCATGATGTACAGTAGTCCCCCCTCATCTGTGGTTTCCCTTTTGGCGGATTCAGTTACTGCGGAAATTGCTGTCTGAAAACATTAAACGGAAGATTCCCAAAATAAACAATTCATAAGTTTTGAGTTGTGTTTTATGTGATGAAATCTTTTGCCGTCCCTCTCTGCCCCACCTGAGACAGAAATCATCCCTTTGTCCAGCGTATCCACGCTGCATATGCCACCATTCGTCACTTAGTGGCAGATGAATTGTCATGGTACTGCTTGTGTTCAAGTAACTCTTATTTTACTTAATAATGGCCCCAAAGTACCAGAGTAGTGATGCTGGCATATTGTTATAATTGTTCTATTTTATTATTAGCTATTGTTGTTAATCTCTTACTGTGCCTAATTTAGAAATTAAACTTCATTATCATAGGTATGCATGTATAGGAAAAAACACAGTAGTACATAGTTCACAACTACCCACAGTTTCAGGCATCCACTGGTGGTCTTGAAACGTATCCCCCACAAAAAGGGGGGGGCCTTCTGAATGCATCACATTGGGAAGCACAAACTGGCTGTCTCCACTTATGTGATGTAAAGATTGATGAGTGAGTTTAGATGTCACACAATTTGTTGTTGAGAGAAAAGAAAGCAGTGAGGGCTGCCAGTTTAAAATAAAAATAAAACTTTCATGAAGGCCCTACTGATCCTTCATGCATATCCAACAGAACTGGATCTGTATAATGCTTCCCTATATAACTAGAGAGATTTTACTTCCTAGAAATCCTCTTTCACTACTGTAGATACACAGGAAAAGTAAAGTGATATTCTAAGGCAGTTTTCACCATTGGTAGTAATCTTTACTTAAATGTTAAATATTACAACCCAAACATTGGCTTCTATATTGATACTAAAAGGTTATTCCAGATAAGGGGAACATATGCTCTTATCTTCCCTTGATACCTGGGAGAATTCAGCAACACCTCCCCCAACACCCCAGCCAAGCTGGAAGGCTCTTACTAATCCCGTCGATGTAGAACACTGTGCCCTTTCAGCTGTAGCCTCCACACTAATGCAGATGTGCTGTGTAAGTGTAATAGTATCATCCTCCTTAGCACTAAAAAGGTAGAAATGCTGTAAGTACTTGGCATTGATAAAATACCCTTCAAGTTACTTAAAAGTTAATGCATATTAAGATACAGCCGTGTGCCACATAACGACATTTCAGTCAACGGAAGACTGCATAGTCGACAGCGGTCCCGTAAGATTATGATGAAGGTGAAAAATTCCTGTAAGATTATGATGAAGGTGAAAAACTCCTATCACTTAGTGACACTGTAACATTGCAGTGCAATTACCTTATTTTTTAATAAAATTAGTGTAGCCTAAGTGTACAGTGTTTATAAAGTCTACAGTAGTGTACAGTGACGTCCTAGGCCTTCACACTCACTCACCACTGACTCGCCCAGAGCAACTTCCAGTCCTGCAAGCTCCATTCATGCTAAGTGCTCTATACAGGTGTACCTTTTTTTTAACTTTTATATCATATTTTTACTGTATCTTTTAAATGTTTAGATACACAAATATTTACCATTGGAACTTCCTACAGTATTTCATACAGTAGTATGCTGTCCAGGATTGCAGCCTAGGAGCAACAGGCTATAGCAGATAGCCTCCGTGTGTAGTAAGCTGTACCTAGGTTTGTGTAAGTACATGCTATGATGTTTACGCCACGACAAAATTGTCTAACGATGCATTTCTCAGAACATATCCCCATTGTTAAATAACACATCACTGTACTGTGACCTTTTAATTACTTTAATGCAGTGCTTTTCCTCTTATTAGTCCTAATATCCCTACCTGGTAGATGAGGATGCTCTAAAATCTTTATCTATGATCATATACCAAATCGGCTCCAGAGACGGCTCACAGATTCACACTGAGCATGGCAGACACTGTCAAAAGGTACTGCAGGCCACCTGAACTTCCTGCTTTGTATGCAGTCTAGAGTCCTGTCGACACCTGGTGTCTGGAATAATATTAAATTACACTGTCTAGAATAATTTCCATCTATTTTCACAGGACTAAATTTTATCTTGGGCAAGGTATAAAAAAGAACACATCTGAAAGATACTAAACTACTTTATAGTCAATGAAATATTTTCATGGTTCAATGTTGCTTCATTCTTGATAATCATAAAACACCTCAACTGATCTGGACTCATTTTAATGACACCTCTCTTGTGGCCGTGAATCATGCTTCACCAGCACCTTAATTGGCAAGGTAACTACGGAGAGAAAGGGCTTCCTTGTGAGCCTCATTAAGCTTTCGCAAATGACAGTAGCTTCAACTTCTTTCACTTAATTTTCTTTCAATTTAACACAAGTAGTAAACGCAAACCCCCCGCCAGCTTGATAGATGGGTATTCTATAAGTTTTTTAAAAGGCTTTATATCCCTGATTTTTTTCTTTCAGTAGACTAGTAGACACACTAAGTTTAAAAAAATTGGCAATTATTGCTTAAAACTTTTAGTAGACATTAATAATTACGGTCTACTCCAACTTTATGAACCCCAAAACAAGATGCAAGAAAACAAATGAGCAATAACTAACTTTTTTTTTTTTTTTTTTGAGACAGAGTCTCACTCTGCTGCCCGGGCTAGAGTGCCGTGGTGTCAGCCTAGCTCACAGCAACCTCAAACTCCTGGGCTCAAGCGATCCTCCTGCCTCAGCCTCCCGAGTAGCTGGGACTACAGGCATGCACCACTATGCCCGGCTAATTTTTTTTTCTATTTTTAGTTGTTTGGGTAATTTCTTTCTATTTATAGTAGAGACGGGGTCTCGCTCTTGCTCAGGCTGGTCTCGAACTCCTGAGCTCAGGCAATCCTCCCACCTCGGCCTCCCAGAGTGCTAGGATTACAGGCGTGAGCCACTGCGCCCGGCCAATAATTAACTCTTGATATGTCACAAGAAACTTTAAAAAGCAGCTAGAGGAAGAAGGTAGAAAAACACAGGAAATTAATAAGGGAAACAAAATAGCAACTTATGAGTCAACAGTAATAATAATAGCTAATGATAACTTACATCTACAAAATATTATAAGCATGAGACACTATTTTAAGTACTTTAACTTTTTTATTTCTCATGAAGCCCCGTAGACTAAGTACTTTTAGTATTCCCACTCTATAAACAAGGAAATGGAACTAGCGAAAGGTTATATAACTGACTCAAAGATCACTTCATTCTCAAGTGTGCAAGCTAAGACTTAAACCCAGACCAGCATGCACTGTAACCGTTACTCTTTGCTGTCTCTTAGCCACGGAGAGTGGAGTCCATGCCAAATTAGATGTTTCCCCTTTAGGTTAATACTACTACTCTGTACTGTGTCTGATATTCTGATTTTCAATTTAGCAATTCTTCTGAAACATGTAACAAGTTCATTAAAGCAAAGTGTTAGAGTTCTGAAATATGCCGTACCTGAGATTATGAAAAGCAACAACTAATGCTGCAATCACTGTGATGGACAGAACAAATATGTAAGCATAAAAAAGCAGAGTATATGAAAGCCTTTCAAATGTATTAAAAGGCAGAAGGCCAAAAGCTTCTTCACACAGATAGAGATTTGCATCAAAATCCCTAGGGAACAAATGGAAAGCAAAGCATTAAATTCAATACAAGGCAAGGAAACTACATTATACTTTTCCTTAAAACGAGTCTGCAATTAATAGTCCATAGCATAATGATGTCTGAAGTTTTATAGTCCCTGCTGATTTAAAATAAAATAGCAAACACAGATTTTCGATACAGTCATACCTTGTTGCTCCAAGCCCAAATTTTGCCTTCAGAAATTTAAATATGTGTTCATCTGACTTCAGGTTAAGAATTTTCTATTGGGGAGAGAGAAAAAAATTGCTATTGGTGCCTTAGGCATGGCTTCCTGATAATTTCCCATTGAATATGAATATTTAGTGTCCAATTTCATAGGAGCGTGTGTGTGTGTATAAAATTAGTAAATGTTCACAGTAGTTCTCAGAACTGAGGAATTCTAAAGCAGGAAATTTCAAACTCCCTTCTCTCCCTCCCTACCCCCACCCCCATTTTAGCATAATCCGTTATTCAAAAAACATCTTATACATAAGTTAAATATGCAAAATAGATAAAGGATGAGCTTTTTTGGTTTCAAGGAGAGGGAGAAGGCTGAAGCACTGTAAACACAATTTTTCAGACCAGATAACCAATATTAGGACAATCTGAAACCTCAAACAGATACATAGCCCACAAGGCCTGTTTTGCTTTGGGGTTTTTGGTCTGCAGCTAGAACTGATGCTAAGACTTATTCACTCAAACACAATTTAAGACAGTAGTAACCCTCAAGGGGTGAACAGACAAATGCCAGTGTTCATCATTAGTGATTACTATTTTAATTCCCAATATTTTTAATTTATAGCTTACAAAAATCCATATAAGATAAATGGTGAAGAAATTGCATCAGAATAAAAATGAAGATAGGGAAAAAATAAGATGAAGCCAGAATTGAGGTTAGTATGCAAAACATATTCATTAGAGATAAGCCACAAATACGGTCTCATGCTCTAGGAGTAAAGACAAAGAGGGAGATAAACGCATCTATGTTACTCACAGGGTCTTAAGAGTAAACAAACCAGGCGCTCAGAGGGGAGACCAACAATCCTACAACTGAGGCTCAAGAGAAGTTTTTCCCATGGGTACAGTAAAAACAGCAAGGAGTTTCAAAGACTATTTTTTCTAATTCCTCTTATTGTAGGTCACTGACAAAATACCAAGTGCAACTCAATATAGATGTTATTCTTGGGGAGTCAAAAACTGGTGGTCCAGGGATGCAGCTCTCTGTTGGTTTAACGCAAGGACAGATCACTGAATGTGCAGAGTGGGCAAATGGATAAACTGCATGTCTTTCAGCCAATCTTCCAGAAATGCTGATTGTTCTGCTCAAACAAGCTTTTGATAAGTACTGAACTGTACCCAGTTTAAGAACACAGTGACGAGGACCTGGAATAAGGTGTTTAACATGGCTGGCTGAGTGAAGAGTCTTTTTTTCTTTGATAGTCAACAGACAGGAACAAGCGCCACCATTCTCTTATGGAGAAGGAGCCCGTTTTGCAAATGTCTCTTTTTCCTGAGACCGGCCTCCAAGCAGGGGCAAAATCATCTGAAGAAATCACAGTAGTTTTGCTCTAACATAAAAACAAAGAGGACATCACAGTCCAAGAACTATATACTTACAGTATATAGTTATATTATATTTTATAAATATAACTATATATTTTATAAATATATTTATAAAATAAAATACAATAAAGTAAAATAAAATGTAAAAAACAAAGTAAAAAATAAAGCATGTTAAACTAAGCAGAGCCCCGAGGGCACTTAAAAAATCTTAGCAAAGTACCTCCTGGACACATGACAAACAGACACCTAAGTTACTAAATGTGTCATTCTGCTGTTAGGGTTGTTAATTGTAAGTCAGTTACATGTCGGGGAACATCTACCAAAAATGAGCTCAACTCTTCTTTCTAGCAGACATTAGATAGTGAGGCTAGTTTATTTATTAACTGAACCCAATAAAAATCATGTCATTTTTTTTTTAGTACCATAGTGTAGAAAATCATGTGTACACTATGATACTAGATAGAATTTTTTAAATTTATAGAAATCTTTGTTTAATGTGTTTACAGTTGAGTTCTAAAAAATTTAATAACTTAAAAGGTAAGTGCATTCAAGGTATTAATAGAACATTTATAAAGACTGAATAGAAATCAATGACTAAAATCAGCAAAATAATCCTTGTTACTAAGACAAGTTAAAACTGAGCATTTTAAAGTAAAACTGGTAACTCTTTAGTAATGCTAATACATTTTATAAAGCAAGAATTTAATTATTTGAAATTGAAAGTTTCAAAAAAGCTGGGTGTAGTGGTGCGTGCCTGTAATCTCTATTACTTGGGAGACTGAGGCAGGAGGACTGCTTGAGCCCAGGAGTTTGAGACCAGCCTGGGCAACACAGCGAGACCCTGTCTCTAAAAAAAAAAAGTTAAAAAAAAGAAAGTTTCAAAAATTATCTCTAATGTCACAAGCAAATTTAATAACACATTAAATATGTCATTTTATTGACTTACCTTAACTACGTTGTTGAGAAAAAGTGTCAAACATAAAACCACAAATAAATGTAACAAAAGTTTCCCAAGCCTATTAAAGAAGCTTCCAGTTTTCAGATTTTTCTGGAAATTAAAAGAGCTATGTTTTAATTCTTAAATTTTAATACAACTTCATAACACTGAAGATGAGATTACTTACGGATTTAAAACACTGGATCATGCAACATAAAGGGAAAATATATGTGGAAAATATAACCTACTAATCTTTATGGGGTTTGTCTTAATATTTATAACTTTCTAGTAGTAAGTGAATCCCTTAAAAATGAGCTCCATAAGGAGAGAAAATGTGTGCTAGTCTTTTTTCTCTTTAAGACCTTCAAAACCAGAAGATTTTTTTGTTTGTTTGGTTTTGTTTTTAAAACCTTCGTAAACCAGAGTATTAGGGTCTGCCACTTGGAAGGTACTCAGATATGCTGACTGAACAAATCATTATATCGTTTCCTTTAATTCATATATCAGAGGCATAGCTGTAACTCAATTTTAAAAAGACATATCAGTATTAAAAAAATAAATTGTGTTCTTTGATATATAGTAGGTTTCTTATAATCTTCAGATAACATTGTCAAATATAAAATCTAAAGAGTTCAAATATCTAGAGTGATATAACTAAGGGTAAACGAATGAATGAGAACTACTATTTTTGATAGTCAACTAAAAGCCTGGTTTTAAAAAATCTTAGTTAAAGTTTGTCCATAGCAATTCTCACTCAAAAGAGTAAATAAGAAAAAAGATTTATTTTTCTCAAAGTGGAAAACAAAATGGCTTCTTGATATAGAAATATTTACAGCATATGAGAAAGAAAATAGGCTTTGTTACAATTTTAAGCAAAAACAAATGATTTTTAAACCTCATGTAAATTTAAGAAATGTAATTACACAGTAAGGCCAAAAGATCAGGTTGGTGTTTTTGAGCATGATTTTACAATATGGGAAAGGTCCCATTATTTCTAAAGGTATCTACATTCTCAAAATTCTCAGAATAGAGTTCATTTTAATTCACTGAAAAATCAGCAATATGGAAGGACCAGGAAAAGAGAAGTGTCACTAAATCAGACAAAAACCAGGTGTCTGCCAACTTGAGAGACTGGGACGAACACTCCCCTTACTCTTGAGCTCACATGCACACAAAAGCTAAAAACTTTTCTCTTTTATTTCAACTTTAAATCAATGACATTCAACTAAGCATCTCTGGCTAATCCCTGAACTGAATTAAGA